TTAAATTTATCTCAACAATCTTTTACTATCTAATAATTTTCCACTATTATTTATCTAACTTGTCGATATATTTTCTATTCTCCAGGAAAAGAAACATTATTTTCCTCTATTGTGTTAGATAGGAGGGAAATAATGTTGCACATGCATGTTTTGCTATATGAAATTAATATATACATAAAATGTTATGACACATTATTTAATTTTTGTTTATTTTTTTGATTTTAGATGAGTCGATTTTATTTAATTGGAGAAAACTTTAATATCTAGGTTCTTTCCCTATACTTTTCTTCTTAACTAAATGTGATGTTTTATTCATCCTTTCACTTTTCCACAAGAGATAAGAACAAATAAGGAAAAATATAAAAAGAAGAGTGATCTAGATCATCTGCAGTATTATTTTTTTTTTTTGTATTACTTTTCTTTAGTAGATTGCGATACATTATTAGTGAAGTATCCACCAAGACTTAAAATTTCGTTTCGAAACGTGCAAAATGTTTCTGTTTTTACGAAAACTAAAATAAATCGGTGATGAAATCGTAATTTCAATACTTTGAGGTGTTTCGAGATATTTCAATAGGGTTTCCACATTATTTCAGAATATTTCGAGATGTTTTGGTGTATTTCAACTAATATTTCAAAAAAATTTGAAAATAAATTCTCATTTCAAACATTTGTTTCTATTATGTTTTTAAAACATTTTCAAAATATTTTTATTTTCTAAGCAACCGAAACAATGCACTAAAACAAAAATTTAATCTTGAATATCTACTTAGGCCATCTCCAATCTTAAGTCAACACTTGATTAAAAATTTGGATTCGATACAAACCACATCTGACAAGCTCAAATTTAAAAGAGAACAAACTTCAATTTAAAGGGATGTGAAATATAACTATTGAATTTCTAAATGAGGGTAAAATATGACCACCAAATATTTAAGAAAATATTTGAGTCTCTTTTTAATTTGGAAAAAAAATTTGAATCAACTTTCATTTGATATGAGTTTAAATAAATAATTAGAGCTTATTTTTAGTGTATTTTTTATTCAAATTTATATTTAAGTCAAAGAGCTAAAGAGGCTCTTAGAGCACCTCTAACACTTCCTCAAATTTAAATTTGAATAAAAATATACTCTTGTACTTTACTCAAATTTATCCTCAAATTTTTAATGATCAAATTTCACCATTCTTCAAAGATCCAACAAGTATATTTCACCTTATTTTAAATTTGATTTTTTTAAAAAAAGAAAAATTGAGTTTCTCATTTTTTAAATTGAATTTCTCCATTAGAATGCTTTATATCATATTAAATTTTTTATTCAAATAGTGACTCAAATTTCAGTCAATCCTGGAGTTGACCTTGTGTTGGGTAAATCAGGATGATCGAAGATAATTATGATATAAAATGAAGGTAAAACATTAAAAAGTGGTAATTGGAGTCCATATGTTTTTTGTTTAAGTGGATGATGACACCTCATCTACAATTGAAATAGATGATTTGTCATCCACAGTTTTTTTATTGTTTGTTTATAAGTATTTCTTTTTGTTAATGACATTTGAACTCAACTTCGAGGATCCAATCCAAACCCTTTTGCTGTCAGTCGAAACCGGAAGAGATTAAGGGTTATAAGGACAGAGAAAGGAAATGGAGGCCATTGACTTTCTTTTTCACACAATTGGGGTCTTTTTATATTCTTGATGAAACAATGACCAATTCATGGCATGTCGACATTATGTAGGATTCCTCTGTTTTTTAATTTTAACTTTATAAAGTTGCATAAGTTCGTATAAATTATTTTATCCAATTTGGATACCGTAATTCAAATGGGTTGAAAACATATCCAAAAAAAATAAAGGTTATTAAAAGGGTATGGGAATGGGATTTTTTTTTTTGGTTAATTATAAAATACCCTTTCATGTTTTAAATTCCACAATTTGCCCACTTAAAGGTTTTTTTGGGACTAAATTAACTGATTGAGCGGATGAAAAATGTTAACTTCCTAAAATATCCCAACATCTATTTTTTTTTTCATTTTCGCTTTGCACCCAACCCCCTTCTCGGCTCCGACAGACTCTCCAACCCTAGCTCCAGCAAAGCCCCCAACCCCCCATTCTCGTCGTATACCAGCTTGAACGATGCTCCCAACCCCCATCCCTAGCTTTGACATTGCCCCCAACCCTTTTCCCCCCATATACGAGCTTCGACAATGCTCCTAACACCCTTCTCAAGGGTTAATTACAACCAAGATCGATTGAAAAATCAGTCCTCTTCCACTACAACCATCAGAAAATTCTCCATCTTTCTTCTTTCCTTTTTTTATTCTCTCTCTTCAGATGGGTGCTGCCGATAGATTTTTTGGGGGGTTAGGGCTGTTTGGGGGCTACTACTAGGGGTGAGTTTTGGTTTTACCAGAGGAGGGAAGAGAGAATAGTTGTTTGGAGGTGTGGTGTATGGGTGTTTTGGTTTCACCGGTGTTTCGGTGTACGGGGTGGGGATGTATGGATGTTTTGGATATTACCCTGAGGGCAATGTGGGTTTACCTGATGAGGGGAAGAATGACAATTATTTGGGTGGGGCTGGGTTTCGTTTCACTAGAGGAGGAGAGAGGTGGGTTTTGCCGAAGAAATTCACCAACTTTTGTGTGTGGAGTTGGTTTTTTTATTTTTACACAAAATATTAAGATAAAGATAGTTGTAAGCTTTTCATAAATTTTTGTCATTTTTAACGGTGGTGAATTAACGGAAAGAGTTAATTAAAAATTATTCAAACCCCAAGGGGCAAATTGTCGAATTTGAAAGTTCAGGAAGTTGATTCCAACATGATTCAAACTTGGAAGATACATTTTGAAATTAATTTTTTTTTTTGATAAGGGAGAAATCATGATTTGTCATTGCGAAAGAGACTAAGAAGGCTGGGTTAGAAGTAAAGAGAGAGGCAATAGAGGCCATTTGACTTTCTTTTTCACACAACAGGGGTCTTTTTATATTCTTTGATGAAACAATGACCAATTCATGGCATGACGACATTATGAAAGATTGCTCCGTTTTCTTATAGGGAGATTTGGCGAGAACTCCACGTAGAGTGATTTTTTTGGCTTTAGTCTCAATGTTTTTAAAGTTAAAAGTCTATAAAATCAATCATTAACAAAAATACCTATAGTGAAATAGGTTACTTAAAAACCTTCACCATTATTTATTTTTTTATATTTATTATCACTAACATCCCAACTCCACCACCCTCATAACCACCAACACCTGCTGCCAACCAGCATCACTCACCGCTGCCACGACCACGACCACCCCTCGCAACTAACCACCACCTCCATTCACTAACACCCGCCACCACTATCACTCACCATCACCATAAACCCCCACACCCACAACCCCCACCCATTAACACCCACCATCGACATAAACCACCACCACCCCCTCCCCACCATTGTCACCAACCACCACCATCCATTATCGTCCACCAACCACCACCTGTAACCCACCTTCACCAGCTAATTACCACCACCCACCATCGTTGCCAACTACAACCCATTGTCATCACCCGCCACAACCACCACCACCACCATCGATCGCCACTCACCACCCCCACCCACTTACACCCATCACCCGTTACCATTGTCACCAACCACCACCATCCATTATCGTCCACCAACCACCACCTGTAACCCACCTTCACCAGCTAATTACCACCACTCACCATCGTTGCCAACTACAACCCATTGTCATCACCCACCACAACCACCACCGATCGCCACTCACCACCCCCACCCTATCACCCATCACACGTTACCATCATCACCCACCATCGCGATGAACCATTGCCACCCACCACCACTAGGGATGGCAATAGACCGAGAAAAAATGGGTATTTGTTCAAAACCATCTCGTTTGGATTGAGAAGGAATTATACGTATTGCACAGTGGATATATACAGGAATACTCATATAAACCCTCACGAGAATAAAGGTGAGGATAGACTAACACTAACCCTTTTTTCCATTCCCACCCCCCCTATAAAGTTAATTTCAAAATTCAGAGACCCAATTTTTTTTCTTTGTCCAATAAAGTAAGATCTATTATCTTTGTGTTCTTTTTAATGGTTTTTGTTAGATCTGTGATATTTTTTGTTAGATTTGTGATGAGTTTTGTTTGATCTAAGGGTATATTGTGTTAGCTATTGAGGGTTTTTGTTTCTAATCTATGGTGTGTTAGATACAAGATTTTTAGTTGTTGTCTGCTATATATATATATATATATATATATATAATTTTTTTTGTGTTAGATCTGTAATTTTCATGTGCTACATTTGATTTTCTATATTCTGATTTTCTATGTTAGATATGCAATATTTTGAATTTTTTAATTTTATATTACTTGAATATGGTCTTTGTTAAATTTTGATTATAGTGTTAGATATGATTTTTGTTGATTTTTGAGTTTATTCTACTTGAAGATGATTTTTGTTTTTTGAAAATTGTTGGATAAATTTTTTGTTTGAAAAGTAATAGATAAATTTATTGTATATTCACTATACCAAATACTAGTGCTTATTAAAGAGAAGAATTGAGAAATTCCCGTTTCCCAACCAACCACTTTTTTGTCTCTCAAAAAACTTAAACGTACTTGGGTCAAAGGCCCGTTGAAAGCTCTGTTTACTTGCTTGCGACGAGTGATTGGCTAAACTCCTCAAGTCACGGTGTGAACGCGGGAAGTTCCAGCTCCGCCGTCCACCCTCGACGGTATTCGGAAACACCCCCAGAAGACACTCTTCTTTAACTATTAAATAAATCAGAATCCAATGCCTTTGATCGTATAAAAGTCTTCGTCTTTAATATGAACTTTCCCATAAATTTCTTCACCAACCGGCCATTCTTTTTTCGCATTATTATCTTGCAAGCAACCCCACAAATAGTTTGAGAAACAAAAGATCTGAAAACCAAGTTCCAATTCCAATCCATCGTTTTGATTGTTAGAGCTTGTTTGAAGTATAGATGGCTGGCGCTCTGTTTGGAGGGGCAGCTTTGGGAGCAGTGTTTGGTGAATTGCTCAAACTTGTTATAGATGCTGCCAAACAAGCCATCAATTTCAAGTCCACTCTCAATCGCCTCGAAAGAACATTAACTGCGATAGAGCCAGTTTTCACTGAAACAGTGAAGCTAAACAAATTGTTGGATGCTCGAAAAGAAGAAACAGATGGCTTCATCAAACACCTGGAAGACGGAAAAGCGCTAGTTGAAAAGTGCTCCAAAATCAAAAGGTGGAATGTGTATGATAAAAGAAATTACAATGAGAAGCTCAACGATCTACACAGTTCATTGGTTTCGTTCTTTCAGATTGATGTGCAAGCACAGTTAGCCAGGGATACTAGGAAGATTTTGTTAGGTGTGAACAATGTGGATGAGAAAGTGGAAAAGATACTCTCGATTTTGGAAAATGGCGGTGGAGTTCGTCATTCAAATGGGTTTTTTGGTTGTTGTGGGGTTCCAGGAGTTCCGGGTTTTATAGTTGGATTGGATCTGCCACTTGAAGAATTGAAAGTGATGCTGCTTAAGGATGGAGGGTCAGTGGTTGTGCTTTCAGCTCCTGGAGGGTGTGGGAAGACTACACTGGCGAAAATGCTCTGTCGCGATGAGGAAATAAAAGGTAGACGCGAAAATTATCATATAGTTGATGCAGTTAAATCAAATCCAGCCGTGCTAGTTTAGATTTATATGTCACAAATCAGATCTGAACAATGTTTTGAAATGTCAACAGCATAAAAAGGAACAATGTTTGAAATCTCAGCTGTTGTACAGTTTAGTATATCTGAGTAGGGAATTTTGTTTGCAAAGTTTCTGCCTGCTAGAATATTTTTGGGTGATATTCTGCATATCGGTTGTTTGATTTAAAGTTTTTTACTCCAACAAGTATAATTGTAGGATATATTCCTTCTGAAGTTTCTACAAATTATCAGTGAATGCTCCATTGGAACTTTCTGACATTTTAGCATGTTCTTGTTTTGGACAGCCATATATGAGGCCAATATCTTCTTTGTCAATGTTTCGAACACACCCAACATAAGGGTCATTGTTCAGAATCTATTTCAACATACGGGTTATCATCCGGTGCCTGAGTTTCAAAGTGATGACGATGCAATCAACAAACTAGAGATCTGGCTGAAACAAATAGGACAGCATCCACTATTGCTTGTCCTGGATGATGTATGGTCTGGATCAGAATCCCTTGTCCACAATTTCAAGTTTCAAATACCAGGATACAAAATCTTGGTTACTTCAAGATCTGATTTACCAGGTTTTGATTCAACATATAAATTGAAATTGCTGAATCATCAGAATGCTGTTACTCTTTTTCGTCACATAGCATTTCCGCAAAATGGGAGCACCTATGTTTCGGATGATCTTGTGGACAAGGTAGACCCAAAAACTCGTGTGAGACTGAATTTATTGGTCATATATACATCTATCTGTTAATATCGTGATGTGGCTGGGACCCTGAACAAGTTTTGGAAGAACTTTCCTTATTTCTGAAAAGCAATTCCATGTCAATTTTTCGTTCGTTTTTCTTTGCTCTAAAAGTAAAATGATTTTATTTGGTGGCATTAATTGCAGGTGGTGAGAGGCTGTGGAGGATTTCCACTGGCCCTTGAAGTGGTTGCCAGATCACTCTGTAACAAGCCTGAGGTGAAATGGAAAAGTACGTTGAGGAAATGGTCGGGCGGTCAGTCTATTTTTGGTTCAAATAGTGATCTGCTTAAACGTCTCCAAACCAGCTTAGATGCCTTGGAAGAGATGCCTATAGTCAAAGAGTGTTTCCTGGACTTAGGTTCATTTCCTGAAGACCAGAGGATCCCTGCTTCTACTCTCATGGATATGTGGGTGGAAATGTATGACTTTTATGAAGACGGTTCGGATACCTTTGAATACCTCGATGAACTCTCCACAAGAAATCTGGCGAATCTTATACTCACGAGGTAGTTAACTTCCTATTTGTCTTTAAAAGTACCAATTGCTTCTTGTTGTGATGTTTCTTGCTCATTAATTGATGTATGTGATAACTGCAAAGAAGAGTAAGAAGTGAATGCATTGTGGTAAAATGTGGGGGTGGCATACTTTAAGCACAAGATGAGAGAAAATCATTTAAGATGTCAGCATAATAAGAAAAGACAACAGATCATTGCACTCATAAGAAGCAGTAAAGTGATCGTAGTGGTTTGGCTATGTGGATTGAAGAAATGCCAAGAACTGTTAGTTGAATTCATGACAAAATATGTGGCGACATATTATCAAATTTCAGTCCTGGATAGAGATCAATGGAAAAACAGGATTGACATACGTCATTGGTTTCTGGTTTATTGCTCTTCTAGTCATTGCTGTACTTCATTTTGTCTCACTGCTCAATTTAGAGTCAATTTGAATACCAGACTACCACAGTTGTGTAGACTCGTAGATATACTAACAACCAAGATATTGTATTTATTTGTTGCTTTCAATGAACTTGCACAGTGAAAGTTAATTTAATAGGAACTAAACAAGCGGAAGAAGGCAAGGATACTTGAACTGTTTGCTTTTTTTCAATAATTGCTTCTCCTTATCTTGCTGCCCTTTGTCTCATGGATGCTTGATTGACTTTGTTGTTAATGAAGTAAGGATGGCATATTACATGTGTGAAGTGTAGTAGTGGACTTTCTCCCTGAGCAACAATTGCATTTTCATTCACAGAAAAGTTGCAAATGAAGTTGATGACTACTGTACTGAGCAATTTGTCACGCAGCATGATCTACTGAGAGAGCTGGCTATTTATGAGAGTAGTCAAGAGCTCATGGAACAGAGACCAAGATTAATTGTGGACATAAGTGCAAACAACCTTCCAAGGTGGTGGAGGGGAAAAATGCAGCAACCCATAAATGCCCGTCTTTTGTCTATTTCTACAGGTTTGCTTATCTCATTTTCAGTAAGAAGCACAGGAAACCTCATATGCAATGGTGTTTTACTTCATTTTCCAATTGTCAATGTCCATAATCTCAATTGCAGATGAGACATTCTCTTCAAGCTGTTGCGACCTTGAACTACCTGAAGTTGAAGTACTAATACTGAACTTTCGGACAAGGAACTTCACTTTACCCCAGTTCATAAAGGGAATGGACGCACTAAAGGTTCTGATTATTACCAACTATGGTTTTGGTTCAGCTGAACTAAATAACTTGCTATTGCTTGGTTATTTATCCAATCTAAAGAGAATCAGATTTGAACATGTTTCGATTTCTTCCCTTGGCACATCCATATTAGAGCTGCAGAATTTGACGAAAATATCATTGATTATGTGTGAGATTGGGAAAGCTTTTCAGAATTGTACCCTTGAGCTCCCCAGTATATGGCCAAATCTTGTGCAGATTGATATTGATTGTTGTGAAGATTTAGTGGAATTCCCTGCCGGACTGTGTAATATCATCAATCTTAAGAAGCTCAAAATCACTTCATGTCATGAGCTGTGTGTACTTCCCCAAGAATTTGGAAAGCTAACAAATTTGGAAGTATTGAGGCTTCATTATTGCAAGAAATTGCCAGAGCTACCACAGTCTATTGGAAACCTCCAGAAACTAGAACTTCTTGATATATCTGATTGTTCAGGATTGAATAAAATGCCCACGCAGATGGACGAGTTGTGTGGTCTGAGAACGCTTCACATGAGAGGGTGTCGGGGACTAGGTGAGCTGCCACCATCAGTAAAGAAACTTGGGCAGTTAAAAGATGTGATATGTGATGAAGACACTGCCTGCCTTTGGGAACCTTATAAGAGTTACCTGACCAATTTGAAGCTAACTGTTCTAAAAGAATATCCCAATCTCAGGTGGCTTTGAGAAATTTGTTGGGGGTTCACAGGTATGTTAATTGATGCTCTATTTTTAACCTTCTTTTCATGGAATTCAATTCAAGACATGTACATCTACTGTCTTTATTAGACAATGAGTTTGCATGACATTCTTCGACAGACATGATACACATGGTGCTATTTTGATTATTGTCCTTGTATTTTCCCTTTTTTCATGCTTAAAGATGGTTAATATCCCCTTAATCAATCCCCCTACTTGCACTTCTATTGCTAAACATGCATGACGATTTTCATAGGTCTTGTCCACCTTGCAACTTTTTTTTTTAGGATGGATTTTGCACTTAGCAGTTGATTAACATGTTGGTAATCAAACAAGTTAATAAGATGGTTGGCTCAGATCAGTATCCTTTCCTTTGGGTTGTGCACTTACGGTTGGAGGTGGCAATTTCTCGCACAACACGAAAACACGACTCAAGATCGACACGAAATTAGTGAGTTAAAGTTGGTCATTTCTCGACACGAACCCGTATATGACACGAAACGTTAACATGAATAATAAAGAGGTTAAGTTATAGTCAAATACGAACAATACAAAATTGACACGATTAACAAATTTAAGTAGTATTATAAGAATAAAATGTCAATTTTTTATTATATTTTATCAAATAGTGATTTAGTTCTTGTACAAAAAATATTTTTACTCATTTTTATTATTAAATTTATTTAGTTAATTTTTACTTTATAGAAAAAGTACGAGTATAGGCTCGATTAAGTTATAATGAAATTTTAGTTATAAAACTGAGCGTTAAATTTTTTATTCATGGATTATATGAATACGACACAAAAATAAATAGGTTGACATGACACGATATGATTATTTAAACAAGTTAGATTAGGATTGACTAGTTCGACACCAACCTGAAATTATACGATACGAATCTGACCCGGTCCAATTGCCACCCTTATTTATGGTTTGTTAACATTGGTCAATGGACTTGGTGCATAAGCTAACCAGCACGGTAAGATAGTGGGTCGACAACATTGTCGATCAAATATGGTTTTGATCGATCAGATCTCCCTAACACATACCACTGAATGGAAATATTTATAACTTCAGTGGTATATTTACCAAATTTATAATAATATTTACAACTTCAGTGGTATATTTACCAAATTTGTACAAACCATTATAATTTCAATAGATTCATTACTAGTCTATGATCGATCAAATATAATTTTAATCGATCAAATCTCCCCAGTACTTTTACTTCTGATTCACAATACAAATCAACAATAACATGATCAATCAAATATATGTTTGATCGATCCAATTTACTTACCAACGATTTAATCGATCAATATATCATTCTGATTGATCAAATTTAATTACAATTGATTGATTTATCCAATTTTTTTAAAAAAATTTTAAAAAAAATGGAAAATTTTTTAATAAAATTGGAATTAATTTTTAAAAAAAATTGGATAAATTATATTTTTATAAATTCTTTTTATAAAAAAATTAGATTTAAAATTGGATTTAAAAATTGAATTTTTTTTTTCAAGTTGGATTTAAAATTTTTTAAAATTTTTTCCAATTTTTAAATTTTTTTTTTTAAATTGGATAAATTAGTTAGTTGTAATTGAATTTGATCGATCAGAAAGATATATTGATCGATCAAATCGTTGGTAAGTAAATTCAATCCATCAAATATATATTTGATCGATCATGTTATTGCTAATTTGTATTGTGAATTAGAAGGAAAAGTACTAGGGAGATTTGATCGATCAAAACTATATTTGATCAATCATAGACTAGTAATGAATCCATTGAAGTTGTGAAGGTTTTCACAAATTTGGTAAACATACCACTGAAGTTGTAAATATTCTCACAAATTTGTTAAATATACCACTGAAATTGTAAATATTCCCACTCAGTGATATGTGTTGGGGAGATTTGATCAATCAAAACCATATTTGATCGATCATGGATTCGTAATGAATCTATTGAAATTGTAAAGATTTTCACAAATTCGTTAAACATACCACTAAAATTGTAAATATTCTCATAAATTTGGTAAATATACCACTGAAGTTGTAAATATTTCCATTCAGTGGTATGTGTTGGGGAGATTTGATCGATCAAAACTATATTTGATCGATCATGGAATAATAATGAATCATTGAAGTTGTAAAGATTTTCACAAATTTGATAAACATACCACTAAAGTTGTAAATATTTTCACAAATTTAGTAAATATACCACTGAAGTTATAAATATTCCCACAGATTTGGTAAATATTCCCACAAATGTTGTAAAATTTTTACTAATGGTATAATTTTATTCACTATAGTCGTAAATTTCCACTAATGTTGTAATTTTACCCTCAATTGACTTAATGGCTGCTAAACTATCTTGTCTTGTCGTTTTAATGTCTTGTCTTGTCTGCCAACCGGTGTAAATATACCATAAATTTAGTAGACATACCACTAATGTTATAATTTGAAATTTTCGGTATGGTACCGAACTTTTGCTCGGCTGTACCATAGCCTTCTCCTTGTTTGTAATATGTGACGTCTGCAAACCGTGAAAAGATCTAATTGACAAAAGACTTGAAATGACCAACAAAACTTGTAGGCATGAACAATGAATGGAATGTGTGTAGGGAATATTACATAGAACTTCTATATAACATTGTATGGGCAGTAATGTTGCTGCTAATAAAGATCGAAGCCTAGACATCATTAAATGCACCCAACAACACAGACCTGTTTTACATTTGTGTGTTTTTAGAAACACTATTTTTTTGTTTATAGATTGGGGGCTTGTTTTTAAAACAAGGAAGCTGAAAAAAAAACGAAAACACATACACAAACACATTTTTATTTTTGTTTTTTTTTTGGGAAAAAACTGAAAACAAAAATATAAAAATAAAAAATAAAACAGTTACCAAATTTAACTGTAATTATCCACATTTCTTTGACGGACAATGCAGGACAGCTAACAGAGCGTAAAATTTTACGAGGAAACAACACCAACTCATGTAAATATGTGAAAGACAGTAGGGTGCCTGACGGACAAGCTGTGAAAACCAAGCACCACTTTCCGCGGCCTACCCTCCTCTGATGAAGCAGTAAATTCAAATATCTTCCCTACAAAAGGCAACAAAGGCTGCATAATATGCACTCCCCATTACCGCCAGATGATTGATCTTTAGTCATGACCCAGAACCTGGTGATACCAACTTACTTGCTGGAACTGATTTTTCGAATTCCAGACTCAGACTGCACTCGGATTGCATATATGACCTCTCCACTGCTGTCGACATCAAGGTCGGGATCAGAATCCAAGTCCTCCAGTTCCATGTCATCATCCATTTCCAGGTTATAAAGGCCTAATGGTGGTACAGTGGCCTCGGAAACTATCTGCATAATCAAATCAATGCTCTGCATGGGCTGATCAGGCTCTTCAAACTGGTTGCTGATTGTCTTCTCATCCATGAGATCTGCAGGAAGGTTCTTTAAAAACCACTGATGGTTTTTGATCTCTGGGATCGTAATCCTCTGTTACATGCATATATCCAAAATCATGAGGCTTAGATTGTGACCAAACTAGAAAAATAAGCACAAGCTCCAATCTGGTACGAAAGAGGTAGTAGCACAATCACATTTAGAACTACAAAGCACGTATACCTCGACGTTTAGGGTGAGCAATTTTATTTTTTCTTTTTGGTAACATCTAGGCTGAGTTTAAGAGCAATTTTCTTTTTTGCTTTCTTTGTTAACAACTGCTCTGTTTTCCGCTTGTTCTCCTCACTGTTTGATCAAATGGAACTTAAAAAACTAAAAACATCTTCTTAGATGGATTTGCTACGGGACTTTTATTCAGTTTTTCTCATATTAAGTTACTGACCACCCCAACTATTATACCATTGAGTGACCATATCGCTATGGTCAATTAAATCTAACTACTATTATTGTAACTTGCAAACTGTGTTATATCATATCTGTTCTTATCACTTAAACTTCTTATATTTAATGCTTAATTGGAATTGTTATTGACTATACATTTAGGCAATGGTCTTCCTCCATGATCTTCCTCTTTCAGCCCCTGTTCAAAAAAGTGCTCAATAACAAACTCCTTGTACCCAGAAAAATACAGCACATTTATTCTACACCTATGTGTGGCAGATAGCCAGAGTGTTATTTAGAAACAACATATATTGTGATTAGACAGCAATGGCATCTGAAAGGTTACAGTAGTAAACCATCTTATCAGTTATTGCATATAGTTAGGTTAATTGTTATATGCACTGAAACAAAGTCTACTATCGAAAATAAAGTTACTAACCAGTATAGGGTCTTGAACAAAGATCCTCGAGATCAGGTGGCGACATTCCTGAGATATCTGAATATTTTCAGGAATGGTATATTGAACGTTTAGAATTCTCTGTCAGGCAAAGGAAAAAAACCCCCTAAGTATAAATAAAAAACATACTACTTGACAGTGATTTGGTAATAAGTCTAACAAAATACTTGTATTGTCTTCCAGAAGTCCTTTGGTTCATCAGGGTCCTCAAAAGGATAGGAACCAACTAGCATGACATATAATGTCACTCCACATGACCACACATCTGCAATCTGAGAAACATCAACAGTACATGAGATCCACAAGTGTCGATGCAAAAAACCATATACAATTTATGGAAGGGATAGTTTGATCTAACATCAAATAAAACTGAACTACATAAAAGAAAATGCATTAAGGGATGTAAAAAGTTGTAAACATAAAAAAAGGGATCAAATGCAAGCATGCATAACACCAATAAAAAAGGAGCTGTCTATCAATTTATGGACAAAGACAAGAAAGAGATCAAAGCCACATATAGCAGTGAAGATCTTACTGATAGTGATACCTCACCTTGTCTATGAAAGAGTGACTGTTTCAACTGGATGTCATCTTTCCCGATGTCATGTTCACAACCCCAAAATGTCCGAAAAGGTCAACAATATTTTAGCCACTTGAAGATGATAAAAATGACCACCCATACAAAAGTTTTATTTACGCGTAAAACTGGCACATGTCCTCAAAAAAGAAATATTCCTATTATATTTCCACATAACCTCCATGGAAATTCAATTCCCAAAAGACAATAAGAGGGTTAGGCAGATCAGTGACAAATGCACCTATGAGATAGGCAAAAAGGACAAAGCAAAAAATTGGGTCCCCCGACCAACACCTCATCTAATATGACAAGCAAATGATAGAAAACATAATCCTATGTCTACATGATAAGTTGCAACAAGCTTTTATCAAAACTATAAATGAAACATGTTTGCATGCAGCCTAGCTTACACAGATGTCAACAAGGATTAACATGTTGGTTTTTATTCTACTCTCTTGTCTTTCTTCTTCGTTTTTTGGTGTTGCTTACAACTTTCCTTGGACATTAACCATTTCAATAAACGGGACTCAGTGTTCTAACAGTGAAGCTTAATCACTAATGATTCTGTGATAAAGCAATAAATCATGTAAGACGTGGGTCGCAAGCATCATCCATTCTGACATTAACTTGCATCATTGAAAAGGTACAACCTATAAGCCATGTTAATAGTATTAGGGTAGTATATGTAAATTGTTAATAGCGTTAGGGAATTATGTGTAAATACAAGAGAGTGTGTATATGTAATTCTTATTATTATGAGATACCTATAAATACAAGTGATGTATGAGGGCTAGGTTAAGTGCTTTAACCTCTCTCTGTTTCTCTCTAATAGTGTGTTAATCTTCTACGCTTAACATGGTATCAGAGCGATTACGATCATAAATATATATTCTGAATAAAGTAATTAATTTTGTTGGTGGTGGTGGTTGTGGTTGTTTGTCGAAGCATCGTGGTGGTGGAAGTCGACTGTTGTCGTGGTTGATCTTTGTGTTGTGGAGGTTGCTGTCATGGTGGTGGAGGTCGACTGTTGTCGTGGTTGATCTTTGTGTCGTGGAAGTCAACTTGGTGGCGCCTTGTCTTCGTCATGGTGTGTGGTGGATGTGGTGGTGTTGTTGTCTTCATTTGGTGTGTGGCATTGTCAAACCAAAGGGTTCTCTTGGAACCCAACTCAGCCAGTGAAGAAGAAGGGATCCAACCCGTGGAGTTGGGTCTGGATCAAATCGGGTCAAGCCAGGGTCTTAAATTGTTTTTAAGTCCAATCACGGTCCAGCCCACGGTTTTGGCCGGTTCAGCAGTCCAGAGAGCCCACTCGGTCCAATTCAGTGGTCCAGCCCAGTTTAGTATTCCAACAGGTCCAACTGGTCTGGTTCAGTGGTCCAGCTTATCCTTATTTTGTATCTTTTGTGGATGATTATTCTCGCGTGACTTGGTTGTTTTTGATGAAAGCTCTGTTTGAATTATTCTCTATATTTAAGACCTTTTGTAAGGAAATAAAAACTCAATATGGTTGTCGTATACGTATTTTACGTTCTGATAATGCTCGGGAATATAAATTTGATCCTTTTTCAACTTATCTTAATCAAACTGTCATTATTCATCAAATTGTCTGTGCTTACACATCTCCACAAAACGGTGTTGCTGAACGCAAGAACCGTCATTTGTTGGAAGTCACCAGTGCCCTGTTATTCCAGATGAATATTCTCTGATATTTTTGAAGTGATGTTGTTCTTACTACTCGTCACCTTATTAATCATATGTCATCCTCTGTGTTAAATGGGTAAAGTCCATATTTTGTCCTTTTTCCTGGTAAACCATTATTTTACCTACCTCCTAAGATTTTTGGATGTGTTTACTATGCTCACAATTTAGGTCCTGGATTTGATAAACTTGATCCTCAAGCTATTAAATGTATATTTCTTGGTTATTCCCGCACACAGAAAGGGTATTGTTGCTACAGTCCTTCTCTATGACGATACTTTACTAGTGCTGATGTCACATTTGAGGAATCTGTTCCATATTTTTCAGCACCTTCTCAGCCTTTGAATCTGGACTTTAGGTCACCTCTTGTACCACCATCTCTTCCCTCATCTTAAGATATTTCATTGCCCACTGTGTTACCGTTTATTTTACCTCTTCGTGTATACTCTCGTCGTCCTCGACCATTGACTGAGGAGTCCGTACCATCGTCCTTGCCGTTTGTTGATCCTGGTTCATCAGATAATTTAGACTCTTTACCTAGTGCTCTTCGAAAAGGTACTCGTTTGTGTGTTACTAATCATCCCATTGCTCATTTTGTTTCATATGATGTCTTATCTCCTGTCTTCTCTTGTTTTACCTCTCAATTATCTACTATATCTATTCCTAAGCATTTACAGGATGTATTATCTGATCCGGGTTGGAGGAAAGCTATAGAGGATGAGATGGATGCCTTACATCATAATGGGAAGTGGGATCTTGTTCCTTTACCCCCTGGTAAATGAACTGTTGGTTGTCGTTGAGTGTATACTGTTAAACATCCGAATGGTTTTGTAGAGCATCTCAAAGCCCGGCTTGTTGCAAAGGGCTTTACTCAGACCTATGGTGTTGATTATGAGGAGACTTTCTCTCCTGTTGCCAAATATTTTTCTGTTCGTATCTTTATTTCTTTGACTACTAATCTTGATTGGCCGTTAGATGTCAAGAATGTCTTCCTACATGATGACTTGGTTGAAGAAGTATACATGGAACAGCCACTTATGTTTACTGTTCAGGGGGAATATGGTACGAGTTTATGTCGGTTAAAGAAATCTTTATATGGTTTGAAGTAGTTACGAAGGACATGATTTGATAAGTTTTTAGATGCAGTTTTAGAGTCTGGTTTTCTTCGATGTCAGACAGACCATTCTGTGTTCCATAGACAAACGAATGCTAGATATGTTCTATTGGTGGTCTATGTAGATGATATTGTGATTACTGAAAATAATTCTGAGGGGATTGTCAAGTTAAAAATCTTCTTGCAAGATCGATTTCATACTAAGGATTTGAGAAAACTCATGTATTTCTTGGTAATTAAAGTGGCTCGATCTAAACAGGGTATTTATTTATCACAGAGGAAATATGTACTTGACATGCTAGAGGAAGCAAGTTTGCTGGGTGGCAGACTGATTGATGTTCCTATGGATCCGAATTAGAAATTGTTGATGGATGATGGTGCACTGTTTGAGAATCCCGTTCAGTATCGCAGATTGGTTGGAAAGTTTAATTATCTCACTATTACTCGACCGAATATTTTTTATGCAGTCAATATAGTAAGTCAATTCATGGGGTGTTCTAGAGTACCACATTGGGAGGCAGTTACTGGTATTCTACGATATCTTAAATGAGCTCTTGGACTTGGACTATTATATCAAACCAATGGACATCTTAGAGTGGAAGGTTTTCAGATGCTGATTGGGCTAGCTCTCCTTCTGATCGGAGATCAACCACTAATTATTGTATTTTCTTAGGAGGTAATGTTGTCTCATGGAAAAGTAAAAAACAATCTGTGGTAGCAAGATCCAGTGCTGAGGTTTAGTATAGGGCAATGGCGCATACGACGAGTGAGTTGACTTGGCTACTACACTTTCTCCAGGAAATTCCAGTTCAACCTCCTTTACAGTTGTTCTGTGACAACCAGACAGCTATCCATATCGCTGCTAATCCGATGTTTCAAGAGAACCAAACATTTTGAGGTTGATTGTCACTTTATTCGGGATAAGATAGTAGCTGAAGAGATTACAACTCCATTTGTGAAATCTGAAAATCAGTTTGCAGATATGTTTACCAAAGCATCGAGTCGTGCACGTCTTACAGAGATTTGTTCCAAGCTTGGATTATATGATATATATAGTCCAACTTAAGGGGAAGTGTTAAGAGCATTAGGATAGTATATGTAAATTGTTAATAGTGTTAGGGTATTATGTGTAAATACAAAAGGGTGTGTATATGTAATTCTTATTATTATGAGATACCTATAAATACAAGTGATGTATGAGGGCTAGGTTAAGTGTTTTAACCTCTCTCTGTTTCTCTCTAATAGTGTGTTAGTCTTCTACACTTAACAAGCCAAATGAAATTTTTTCACATGAAATTGAAGATTAATAATTTATTAGTCAAATGAAGAAAATACAGTGGAAAACCTTTTTTGTATGGCCATGACAATGTATATTTTTGGACAATTTAAGCATATGTGGTCCTTTCTTCATTATAGCATACAAAGTATGTACATTGTCTCACCCTCATTTGGCAACCGCAAGAGATATCAATGCTCGGGTAAATTTCATCTAAACCCTCTATATATAGAACTAACTACAATGCACCTCTTGCCTTTTCTGATATTTCATTGCACTCCATTCTAGCTAATATATCCGCTTCATCCACACCACCTGTCGTGATTAAATATTATTGAGAAGCCAAAAACGTAACTGAAATGGTCCAATATTCTTTAAAAATACTAATATTACCATTTGATATGGTTTTTGGAGTACAATGTCAATGTATTTAAAATTTAAATGACTTACTTACCTTTATATCTAATGTCCTCTTCCTAGTGTTCTCACAGTCCTCTAACTCCTTTCCTTCTCTCTCCCTCACACACACTTACACACAACCACATGTTATAAGTGTTTTTAACTTTTTATTTTATGTTTATTGTAATGAAGGGTATTATTATCAGTATAATATTTGCAACTATAAATATAAGTAACATAGAGAGAGAACCCTAACCTCCTTATTCTCAGCAGTCTCTTTTATCCTATTTTTGTCCTATTCCTCTTTTTTCTTTTCTTTTCTTTTCTCATTTCAACACCACCATCTCCACCAAAAATGACACAAGCTTGTCCCCTCACACACACACTGCCTGCCGACCCACCCGTCATCACCACCCAGTCGACCCGACATCACCATCCAATCTTTTGACCATCACCACCACTATTGCACATATAGCCCTATGTTCACTCTAACTCCACCACTAAGCACTTTTGACCACCACCTTTATCAATCACCATTCCATGCACAACCCATCTAATATAACCCACTTGTGAACAAATTCAACCCATTGTTCATCAAAGTTCATCCATTTAAATCCTCCTCCACCCAATGCGTTGGTGAAGCTTGGGTCGCGCTGGGTCATACTGTAATTGTTGGTGATTTTGATCATGTGAGTGTGTGCACTAGTGGAATTTTGAAGTTAAAATTTGATGGGTGGTTTGGTTGAATTCGGATGAAATGATGAATCAGGGACATAGTAGGATTGGGATGAAATGACGAATCGGTGATGATGGATAACTCCATGAAATGACCAAAAGTGGGCAATTTCAAAGAGTGGATGACTCCACTGTTGACGGCAATTTCAAAGACCCCTCGCTGGCAGGAGGGACAAAAGAGTTAGAGTTGGTGTATGTTGGTCCACTGTGGCGTTGGGTTATGGGGTGAAGGGTCAGTTCTCCAAGAGCGTGTGAGAAACTGTCGAGGGTGAGGGCAAAGGGTCGTTAGCAATAAAGGAATGGAAATGGATGGTCACGAATGAAGGGGACCTATGCATGGTTAGGGGTTGCTCGTTCTTTACAATGTTATTATTCCCTCCTCATCCTCTCTCTCTCTCTCTCTCTCTCTCTCTCTCTCGCTATATATATATTTGTTCCGGATAATTCTTTTGTACCCACAAAAAAAATGTGGATACCGAAGTTAATAGAAAGCCGTAAATTTTGATTTGTAGCCATTAATCATAAAAATAACAAAGTAATAAATAAGGACATTAACACGTGTCAAAATTTTAATGAATAAAAAATTGAGATATAGTACCAAAAATTAGTTTTTCGGTGTCGTAATTGAACCTGTTATGTGCTTATCAAATTGTGAGGGTTATAATTACAAGGTTTATATGTATAATTATAAGGATAAATGTGTGAAAGTGTATTTTCCGTTTCATCCATTAGCAAACAAACATGGTGTCAATAAAGTTTCGAATCTTTATCCAAATCTTTGATGGTGAGATTTCACCATATTTTAAAGATTCAATGATCATCTTTATTCTCGTTTAAATTTAGATTTGCCCACTTTTAAATTTGAGTTTCTCTTTCTTTAAATTTGAGTTTGTCCATTAGAGCCCTTTGTATCAAATCAAGCTTTTTACTCAAATGTTAATTCAAATTTGAGTAAAAAATTGAGTCATGATTGGAGATGCTCTAATAAAAGTTTTTCAAAAATAGATATTGTTGGGCTTAGTGGTAAATGGTTGACGTAACCGAAGAAATGGCAGATAAACACATCGCCTTCACGTAATTAAGACCCAACATGGCATGATCTGCTTTATTTTTCTATAGGCAGGCAAGCACGCGGAAAGGAGGGGAGGGGGGTTAACAGATATAACATTACTTGCGGAGAGGTGAGAAAATTAATAAAATTGATATGCAAAAGAGATTTACTTACTACTACCAAACAACATATCAACTAGTTATAACATAAATATCTAAAACTATATGCATATAAATACACTGTTTGCACTATATACAATATTTTCACTTCCCTCAGCAAAGCCAATGTTGTATCATAATGGAAAGAAGGATTCTGTTAACCAATTCAATAACTTATCAGGAAGGATGTAATAAATAAAGGTTACGGTATTACCTTGCCATCATATTCTTGCTTAAGTAACACTTCTGGAGCAATGTAAGCAGGAGTTCCCACAGTTGATTTTGGTTGTGAATGCAACACAGAAGACTGTTTAAACGAGAAAAGAGGCACAATCAGAGAAGTACATAACACAACTAATTTTGGTGACCATAAAGACAGAGAGGATTTAATACTGCAGTTTTCTAGTGCTCACAATATTCCATAAAGAAGAAATTTAGAACTAAAATCAACAGCATCAATGAAGAAGGGGGAAGGGGGGGGGGGAGAAGAGAGAGATGGAGAGAGCATCTACATTGCTCACACTACTCTATTGTAAAACTTATTAATCCCAACCTAGATCCATCCAAATTTCGGGAGAAATATACAAACCACCTAAAATGAAACACAAGATAACAATATAAGACAGACAACCAATACCTTGGAGTAACCAAAATCACATATCTTCAAACGAGGAGCAGGACTTCCTTCTAACAATGTATTTTCAAGCTTCAAGTCCCGATGACATACTTGCTTCAACAAGAAATACAGTTTAAACAAGTCAAATAATCCGAGTTGCATTTCCAGAATCAGAAGAGATGGATAAAGGGTAAATTTCTCTGACAGCCTCCAATCTGATAAAATAACATGGAAACTCCTCGTCATCCGAGAAGTGATATAGAGACCCTTGTCGAAGTTTTCAAGTGGAAATTGTTAAGGCATTTTATCCTATTTGAATGAGCTAAAACCCAGAAAAATAACAGAAAATAGGGAAATGTGGATGTTGAATTAGCATGTATGGTTGTCTCTTTCACAACAAACAGAACTCTGGGGGTCCCCTTGTCATTTCTCAAATGTTAGTAAGTCTCCAGGGAGTCTCAATGTAATTTTTCCACGAAGAAATAAATAAAAAACATAGAAGAAATTTAATACCATTGCATGACAATAGCTGACTCCAGATATAAGCTGTTGAAAGAAGAAGCGAGCCTGTAACAAAAAATATAACAAGTAAAACATATGAGGAGCTCATCTAATGGAGATAGAAAGCCTTGTTAAATATACTCAGTAAGCTAACAACCTCGTCCTCATTGAAGCGCCCTGCATTGCAGATTCGTTCAAAAAGCTCTCCTCCAGATGCATATTCCATCACAATAGCCAGATGAGTTGGTGTTAGAATGACCTAGAGTAAAATTTTCAGCAGATAAACAACATAAAAGTGTTGTCCCCATTAATGGATATAAAACACAAAGGGTATCAATATTGACGTGCATGAATAGTGCACCTCTTTGAACCTAACTATGTTAGGGTGCCTCAGAGACCTGTGATTAATGATTTCCCTTTGAACATTTTCATCTATCTGCAATACAACAAACTAGAGTGAGAAAGCCAAAAACTCCACCCAAAAAAACTAAAATTATCAGTCCAAAAAACCTTAGGAACTAAATGTAGCTTGAAAGAGAGGAGAGGAAGCGGAGTCCAATATCATGATTACCTTGTTCAAAGCGCGGTTTGATTCTAAATGCTTAAATTCCTTCTACATTAAAAAAAAGGTGCAGCTTGATTGTAAATGCTCAAATTCCTTCTACATTAAGCTATTTTGTTGGAGCTAAGCACACTTCAGCATACCTACCCTGGAACAATTTATTAATGATGTCTAAATCTTCCTCTATCCCCCCCCCCCCCAAAAAAAAACCCCAACCCAAAAAACAAAAACAGAAAAAACCCATATTAGAGCGGGAGAAGTGTCTTTCCCCTCAAATTAAATGACTACTTTTTATTTTCCAGATATTTATAATGACATTCATCACCAAAGTTATTTAGAAAATTAGTCAGTAATCACAATTTAGGACTTAGACCAGAGTATTGAAAAAATAATTTTGGTACTGTACCTCCAACTTTTTCCGCTTTAATGGGTGTTTTTCACAACTTTTGTGGGTTATTTTACAATCAAAAAATTTACTATTTTTGTGGATATTTTTACTATTGTTGTGGGTGTTTTTACTATTTTGTGATAACTATTTTTACCACTTTTTTTAGTATAAAAAAATTTATCACATTTGTAATTGTTTTTACTACATTTATAGGTTTGTAGGTATTTTTACCATATTTGTAGATGTTTTTATCACTATTATAGTAACTATTTTTATCATTTTTTGAAGTACCACAACAATGATAAAAGAACCTACAAAATGTGGTAAATGAATGTATGGTACCGATTTTATTTTTTTGGGTACCCTAGTCAACTCCCACAATTTATGTTGATAGCATGAGATGGCATGTCTATTTTGCACCCATTTCTCGGCAACCAAGCAAAAAATAATGTATAGCCCTACATTTAGTCATAGTTTTGTAGCACTTAGACTAATTTCAAAACAATACTACTAGTTTGATATAATTTACTACCTTATTCTATTATTGTTTGCTTGACATCTCTTCTATCCAACATGGGACCCACTAACACCAAAAATGGATTAAATTTGCAAATTAAGTCTAAATAGAGTTTCTTATTTGACAACTCTCAAGGTTCAGTGCATGAATCAATTTTTTACAATATGCTCAATTTTAAAAGAAAAAACATATTCTTTACGGTAAATAAAAAAATTCCAAAAACACCACATTAAAAGTCCCTAGCGAAATTGAACACCGCATTTAAAGGCAAAAAAAAGGCATTTTCACTGAAAGAAAAGTTTTCAAAATTACACCGACACCCCCAACTTATCAACTGTGTTCAATACTAAACCAAAATCATAAATTTCAAAATCATTGGTCAAACCACTCCAACAGAAGCTAAATTCAAGAACAAATAGAGTAATTAGAACTTCAAAAGCAAGTAGAAAATGATTTCGATACTGACCTTATCGCCTCTCTCGATGTACTTTACGGCAACGAGCTCTTTCGTCTGCTTATCTCTCATAAGCCTGGCGACACCGAAATTGCCCGACCCGATGTCTCGGACGAAATCGTAACGGTCACTGTCGTGCATAATCGGCATGTCCATACAAGGACCCCCTAGCATCGCCACCCGATCCATTTTTCCAACTCTCCGAACTCGACCTATCAAAGAGACCGAATCACACTTACACAACTGAAAACGGCGTCGTTTCGTCAATGATCGTGATTTAACCGGAACACCCGAGGCCGTGAAGTATCCGTTGACCGGATCGGAGAGATCTGTTCTGAGTATGTCGGTTTTGACCTCAGATGAGTCGCCGCTGCTTTCTTTATAAATCTACAGGGAACTGTTCAATGGTGGTTGCTTTTGTACTTTCACTTTCACTGTCTACAGAGTTTCTAGAGAGAGAGAGATTTTTTTTGGTCGGCGACAGATTAATATCTCTCTGCCCGAATCAGTGGGTGGAGGAGGTGATGTTGACAAGGCAACAGGAACGAAGGTTCGCGATAGACCAGACGGTGTCGTTTATAGTGGCTGAACTTTGGAAACGACGACGTTCTTTTGTCTGATGATAGCTACTACTATGCGACGGTGTTTTATTGTTCTTTGTGGTTAAATGACATTAATGTCCCTGCTTCGGATAAAATTTGGACAGTTCCCCGAAACCTAGTGGTCCGGTCGATAGGGGATAAGATGTTGGAAGAATAAAAAAATAGCAGGATAGATTTTCTATTCTTAAAAGAAGAAAAGAGATTTTTTATCTTTTGTTTGGCAAGAAGTATGAAAAAGTAAAAAGAATAAATTTTTTATTATTCTATTTAATATGAAAAAATATAGAATATTATTATTAGTAAAATATCAAAAATATATTTAATAAAATATAAATAATCTATTGAGACATAAGTTCCTTGAAGTAAATGGTAATTAACCATTACATAAAAATTATGGGACCATCTTGACCAACTTCTCAGGCATTGTTGTCATTTTTCGTCCGAAAACAGAGGGATCAAAAATGGTGGGCGGTGGTATGATTTGCTTTTCCCTCCATCTTTTATTTCCCTCCGTCTTTCCTATCTAACCAAACAAAAAAAAAATTACATTTTTCAGCTTACTTTCCGTCCACCATTTTTCATCCATCACACATGAATTAGAATAGGTGCAGCAATTCCCCCTTAAAGTCTCTTGCTTTTCATCCATCACACATGAATTCGAAGAGGTGCAGCAATCATTTTATTTTAAATTATTAAATTCACCTTATTTTATACTCACTCTATTAAATATTAAACTCACTAAGAGTATTTAAATTTCTGGTTACCGGAATATTTAAACCCTATCTTGTCTTCTTGATTAGCTACCACAAAAAATCAAGTTAACAAATAGAAAAAATTTTGGTATTCCATAAAAATAGAGCAGAAATGCAGAATATTCATAAAACTTTTGTTTTCCTAACCGACCCTACCCACATATATTTATATATTATTGTGTGTGTGTTAAAATTTTAACATTTTTACCATTATCGTGTTGGTTAATTGATGCAAATTACTTAATTAAATTGTTAAAATAATCTAAATATTAATAACTAAAAAAATATTGTGTTTACCCTGATTTCTTACCCGATTTTCTACCCTATTGTTTTGGACGGGATTCAAGTAGGAAGAGTGCACTTGATCGGATAGGGTACGTTAAAAAAAAAAATTCAGCAAAGTATCAGATAGGAAAATGAAATACCATAATTTCTACTCGTATGATAGGGTGAACACCCCTAAAACTCACCTCATCTATATTCAGTAATTAAAAATTAAATTCATTCAAATTTTTTTCAACCTATTATATGCACAATGATCAACATTTTGTTTCGGCGTATTATTTTGATACGAAAATATTTTAAAAGTAGAATAAAAATTAATAAAAATTAATAATTATTTTTAAAATATTAATCAAAATATCTTAAAACACCTCAAAATATTTCAAACACATTAGTGAAAATATACAAAAAAATATCTCAAAATATTTCAAAATAATATAAACCACCTCGAAACATTAAAATTTCACTTCAATTACTATTTTTGTTTCGATTTTTTTGACATAAATTTAATAGTTTAATTGAATGAGTATAAATGAAGTAAATTTAGTAATTAATGAGATGGATATAGATAGGATGAACTTAGCAACTTGAAATTTGATGATTAAATAGGATGGAAATAGTTGCACCCATTCGAATATTCGATGCGGCCAATATATAGAGGGCAAATTCAAAGGACACCCACTCTAATTAGATTTAATTACAAAAATATCTTTAAAGTGACTTAGAATATCTTTCTTCAAGATTAGACAATTTAATAGAGAAATGTAACTTGAGACAAAAATTAGAAAAATCTGTTTGGTGAAACATAGTGACTCTAGCCGAGCCAAAAAAGAGTTTAACCTAGCAAATTTCAATGTTAACTAGGATATTAATCGAATCGAATTTTGTGAGCTTGAGTTTGAGTCTGTCAAATTCGTTTTTCTAAATAAACCTAAAAAATTATTTAAACTCAATTTATTTAGACAATGAGTCGAGTTCGAATAACTTAACTATTTTACATTTAAACAAATCGAACTTTGTGAGTTCAAACCGAGTCCTATCCGAGTAACTTGTCTTAATTAACACCGGGATTAACCCAACCAGAATTAAAGTCTTTTTAAAGATCAATTTGATTAGCAAAACTCTTGAACAATACATACCAAGCAAAGGTATGAGAGCTGCAATCAAGGAAACTTTAAAAGGAATTAGTACCCAATTGGAATTCTAGTTTCACAACTCCTTTTATTTTTTTTTTTTTTTTGGTCAGCTAGTTCCACAATTTCAAGGATTCCAAAAGATGGTTAGGCTATCACTAATGACTAAAGGCAGTCAAAGAGAACCAATGAGGAAACTGCTTATTCAAAGGTACATATTATTAATATATGACCTACAAAATTAATTAATGAGAAAAAAAAATCTAGAAAGATTCATGCACAAATTAAGGAAAGAACTGTTGCTAGGGACTTTATTGATTTTATTATTAGAGTGTCTCAGGCCGGTTAAACAGTTGAAAATCAATCATACTATAAAAATTAAAAACAAATTGTGTTGGTGATTTATAAAAATGACAAGAGTAATAGATTTATGTCTTTAGTGCATCAAACAAAAACACATGTGGAAATTATTGTACATGTGTATAAAACATCCAGGACAATTTTTAAAAACAAATTTGGATCCTTAATTTCTTTTAACTTGAAATATTAACCCAATTCCACCTAATAGTACGTTTGGTTGGAAAGATGAAAAATAGGAAAGATAGAAAAATAGAAGGAATGAACTTTTTATCCATGAAAAAAGGAAACCCTCTCTTCATTTTGTTTGATACGATGAATGAAAAGTTGGAAGGATAACTTTTGCATTCTCTGGTATTAAAAGGAAAGGAAAGGAAAGACAAAAGTAAATACTTTTAATTTACTATTATACCCTTATTAATAATTTTTACAATGATATAAAAGTTCAAAGCATTAATTTACTATATTATCGAATAAATATATTTCAACAAATTAATATTTTCAATTTGACTTGTATAAAAAAAATATAATTTCAGTTGGGCAAGTGAAAAATATAAATAATTTTTTGTAATATTTAAACATAGAAGATGATTTCTAGAATGTGTTAGAAAGTTAAAAAAAAAAAAAAAGAAGTTAAGTTACTTTATTACATAAATACATTGGTTTGTATAACAAATTATAAAAGACAAGACACTAATACTCCATTTGGTAGGAATGATGGAAAGTAGAAAAGATGAAAAGTAAAAGAGATACATTTTTTATCCTTAAAGGAAGGTAGGAATGATACAATTTCCTTCATTTGTGTTTGGTTTGATGGATGAAAATTAAAAATGACTATTTTTTTTGTGTTGGCTAAGATTAAGGATGACAATCAAGTCGTGTCGTGTCAGATTTGTGTTGAGTCATTACGAGTTTGTGTCCAATATTAGTCAAATCTAACTCAATTCATTTAACTAATTGTGTTGTGTCGAGTTGCTAGTTGATCTATTTATTTTAGTATCGTATTCGTGTTCGTGTTGACTCACATAAACTTTGAATAAAAAATTTAACGTTAATATTCTATTTTCATTTAATTGAATTCATGTTAATATTTTTTTCTACAAACTAAAAATTAACTTAAATAAATATAATAATAATAAATAAAAATATCTTTTTTATATAATAATTATGTCATGTTTAATAAATAGTTACAAATAATTAACATTTTATGTCTATAATACTAGTTAAACATGTTAGTTTGTGTTAATTTCGTGTTACCATATAAATGAGAAAATAGAGAAAATGTTTATTTTTAAATAAACAAGTTGATGGTGTCAATTTTGAGTTAGACTGGTTGAAATCAATATAAATTTTTTATATTTCTTGTTCACGTGTCAGGTCATTTTCAAGTTCGTATAAAATTATAATCAAATACGTGTCATAAAATTTGTGTCAAGTTCGAGTCGTGTAATCTTGTTGAGTCAAAAATTTTCACCCTTAGTTAAGATAAAAAAAAAAAATTAATTTAAAATTTTTATATTTAAATTTATTTTTAATTTTAATTTTTTTTTTAAAAAAAATATATATATATATATATATATATATATATATATATATAAATACGTGTTTTATTATTGTATTTTTATATGAAATTAATGTATACATAATATCTATATAATAAAACACATAGGAAGTTGAATTTTATCCCCTATACATTTTTCCCCCAAAATCATTAAATCACTCATTTCTATCACATGTTCAATTATTTAATATTTGATTAATTTGTAGTTTAACATAATTTTTATTTCATATATTGGAAAATTTTAATTTACATTTAGTGTATATATATGGAGAAAATTTTATCGAATTACGTATTTTAAAAAAAAATTAATATTTTTAAGAAAATAATAAGTAAAAATAAATTTTGAATGATATAATCAAAAAAATAAATGAAATAAAAATTATTATTTAACATAGTGAGATCTATTTTTTGGAGTTCGAATTTTATGTTCTATTGTGCCTTTAGGCACAAGATATGACTAGTGTGTATATATCAAAAGATATATAAACAAATAAGATACATTTATTAAAAATATTTGTGAGTGCATGGGATACTCAAACTAAGAGTAAAGCCCCGTATATATAGTTAAATAATAATACAAAGTAACTTAAACATTCTTGTGGTTTAAGCAAAATATATAGTCATAGTAAGGGTTAAAAAGGAAAAAGAAAATCTAATAAACTATACTATACTCCAACATTCCCCCTCAAGTTAGGCGCAAAAATATCAACTAAGTCAAGCTTGACAACGGAATCCCGGAGAATGGATAAAATGACAGGTTTTATGAAAATATCTGCAACCTGATCATTGGTCCCCACAAACAATGGAGTGACAATACTATAGCGAACTTTCTCTCGAAGAAAATGAACATCGATCTCTATATGCTTCGTCCTCTCGTGTAATACAGAGTCAGAAGCGAGTTGAA